ACAAGAGGAAAACATCCTAGATCACCATCAAGAAAGGGAAAGGAACAAGGGCCTTTCCAGCCTGAACCACATCACTACTCGAAGTAGGGCTGCACCTCTACACAAAGTAGGGGCCTTCTCTACTAAACCAAAGTAGGAGGGAATGTGTTTCAATTCCATAAATCAAAATAACATCAATAACTGCATCTGTACAGTACATTTAAACCCACTTGTGGCCCTTGATATAGACCAAAATACACCCTTATACCCTATTCCTCATAGTATTAAATCAGCATGCGGGAACCTAGTTCCCATTTTGCAAGTTCCCATTCATTTAACCAAATTCTCATGCAAAATAATAAATACCATAGATAACCCAAAAAAGATGATAATCATGGGCCACCCTTTCATTAAATTGAGATACAATGTCAGTTTTCCTTATGAAATTAGTATCCCCCATATAATTAAAGTTCATAGCAGAACCCTCTAAATCAAGCCGATGTGATAAATATCCAATAATTTTAATAGTTGGTTGTACATTATGCCCAAGAAGAGCGAATTTTATAGTCAACGCTGGTAGAAATGAAATTGAAATGAATGAAAATCATCTACTTAGTTGCAAACAAAGGAAGCATAATTGATCTTCAACTAGGAAAAATGAAAAGGCATAAATCCATGCCAGTTGAAATGCATGATAATCATCTACTTAGTCACAAACAAAAGAAAGAACAACTGATCATCAACCAGGAAAAATGAAAAGGCAATAAATCCAAGCCATTTTTAAAAGCAAGTACTATGTACTAAGCCTCTTTAATTTGTGCATTCGTCTGTTGTAAGGCCTTTTTCATTTTGACGAGTGTTACTATTAGGGGAGTTTTGATAAAAAATAAATACACAATATATTTTTCTTAGATACTAACTAATTTGGAAATGCGTGTGCACCTCTATCCTCATACCATCAATTCAAGACAATTAAATTCGATATGTATAAAATCCAAAGGATAATTCTGATTCAAATTAAATCTCCCAGAAGATGACCACTGTAAACTAAAATTTTTAACTTACCGCACTCAACTTTAGTTCCTAACCAGCAAATGTATTGCACCCATCACTTCTCCCTTTCCCTAAAATCTCTCCATTTTACATCTCAAGGGCTCATCCTTTCAATTTGTTTCTTTTTTCTCTCTCTCTCACTGTCACTCTCTCTCTCTCTCT